GCACAATTTACCCCGCATTAGGGTAATCTGTGTCATATCAAGTGGTAAATTATTTGAACCATTTACATTTTAAATCAAAAGAATTTTAAAGAATAAAATCTGAAAAAATGTACTAATGCATTTTTATACAAAGATATCTGTAGTGTAGTGAAACATCGTTCAACATTATGTAATAGTGTTAAAGTTTCTTATCACTAGTTAAGCCTTAATTAAGCCTCAAGTCATTTCATTTTGACATTTTCATCATTTTTTATCAGTAAACAAGACTTTATATCCCGTTATTTTTTTTCATTCGTAAATATATCTTGATTTACAATTTTTTTTATATTTGTACTGAAAAACAAAACAAAGATCCTGAGTAATAAAATCTTTTTTTTTTTTGCAATATATAGAACTTTTTTTTTTATTTTTTTACATAAAACTAATTGTACCTTCCATGTAGAACATTTCTGACATGCAAAAAAAAAAACATTGTTACTTTTCTCAATTCCATGCAGCTATATGTGGTCTTTCTATATGCATGGTCATGTGACAAAGACATATACAGCTTGCTAGATTAGATTAATGTATCTTTCCTACCGACACATCTTACCCCACTCTCACCTACATGCGAAAACACATTTTAAAAAACTGTGAAAGTTTATTTTTTGAGGTCTCACTGACCAACACCCAGCCCAGTGTTCAGTACTAGTGCTCAGCGCTCTTCCTGTTACTGTCAGTGTCTGATTTCACACCTCTAATGATTGCGCACTGTTTACAGTGCCTCCTTTATTCTTTGCATGGTCACATTACTATTGCCTCAGAGAAAGCACACAGCGCACACACCACAGCATACACACACAGACAGGCCATCGATATGAAATAGTTTTTTGCTAATATGCCAGGCTTCTTTAATTCAGTGACAGTGTCTTAAAATGAAAGGACATGAAGATTGTGACACTCAGCGGTTTCTAACACGAAGGCCCCTGACAGACATCACACCATCACACATCACACATGAAAATGACGCTACAAAAATAAGCACCCACACTTATGTTTAATTTATACGATTCTCTCAGGATATCATATATCACTGATAAGAACCAAATTACGTGACTGAAAGGAAGGCTAAGAGTAGCTTCACGATTCAAAATCTGTGCTTTTTTTGGCAAGGGCATCTTAGAAACCAATTACCACACAAGAAATAGATCATTATTTCTTCTGAGCAGAGAGGCTTGGGGGGTGGGGGGCAAAGGTGGTTGCTAAAAGGATGGGTAGGGTTTTTTTTAGATTGAGAGCAGCACAATAAAGACATAATCATCTCCCCCTCAACTTTTCCTATCCAACTTTCAGATTTTAATTTGCCGTCTGTGAAGTGGTACCTAATTTACTTTCGCCTCATCCCTTCAATGCGCCATTGTTACGGCGGCAGAGACTCAGAGTTTCCTCTCTTAGCTCACCTCGGCGTGAAATTGGTTTAATGAAGCTGAAAGGTATGAAGCTCTCACAACACTGCGGATTCCAGCGACACTGCTTCATCACCCCCTCACGCCCCCCAAACTCACATTACGCCCACAAGTTATAAAGCAGCGCATAAAAGGTCGCTATCTCTTACATTACATCAGTGGATATTGTTGTCCCTTTCAGAGTGCCAGCGCTCAGGCGAACCGCCGAGTGACAAGCTGAGGCCGTCGGTCTCAGGGACATGCACTGTGTACTTCAGATTCATTTGAAGAATCATATCGCTCTGAATCAAACTCAAGAACCAAACACACATCGATCAGTGTGTTTTCCACCTTGGAGCATCCCGTCATTTCCCTGCATGCAGTGACCCTGTGAAACACGTTCTCACATTACCGTTCTGACTGGGTGTGACTCTTGTGAGAATGCAATGGAAGTACTAGAAGATTATTTTGAGTGTGTTTGCTTGTGTGTGTTTGCTTGTGTGTGTATGCTTGTGTGTGTGTGTGTGTGTGTGTGTGTGTGTTATATTAATATGATCTCCTCATGGCATATCATTTACAGCTTCTTGCCCTTCTTTTGGACAATCGCATGAAAATGCATCCGTAACTGAATATTCAGGTCTGTTCTGGTTTCAGTCCTGTTTCAGGACCTGCAGGGAATTGGACATGAGAAGAAAAACAATGAACAAATACCAGAGGACTGCATAGATTTGTGTGTGTGGAAGTTTTGCTGTCCTTATGGGGACAGACTTTCTGAAAAACAAACTTGCGTCCCCACAAGGAAAAAATGTTTATGAAGGGAATAAATTATGTCTTCATTTGTATCTCAAATGGGTTAAGATTATTGTGCAAAAAGTATAATTAACTTAGGAAATGTAAATAGGAAGTCCACGCTTTATAAAACATTGTGAATGTGTGTTAAAAAAGAGGCCCCCTGGAATAAAGAGAATCCCACAGGGATTTGCAAAGAGTTTCTCTGAATAAAACCTTTCTTAAACAGTATTTTTGTCTTATTTTTCAGCAAAAAATATCTAATCATCCTTAAAACGGTATACATTTACCTGGAAAGCAAAACCGTGTCTGTATTTATTTAACCTCACTACATTTTGATGTAGATATTTGGGACTTCTTGAGGAGAGGTAAAAATAAAGAATGGTAAAATGAATAAATAATTTTATATATATATATATATGTGTGTGTGTGTGTGTGTGTGTGTGTGTATTTGTTTGTTTAATGAATATACAGTAATATACTATAATAGTAATACAGTAATATTGTGACAATTTAAAATAACTGTTTTCTATTTCAATATATTTTCAAATGCAATTTATTCCTGTGATGGTAAATCTTGATTTATTTACTATTCATATATGCATCAAAACTAAATTTCGGTAATGGTTAACCACAAATTGGCAATTGGAATAAGTAAACAATATTTAACAATTTAAATAAATAATCTTTAAATAAAGATAAATTCTGAATTAGCTGATCTTGTTTTAAGGATGTTCACATATTTGTTTTTCTCAAAAACTGTGTGTGTGTGTGTGTGTGTGTGTGTTTGTTTGTTTAATGAATATACAGTAATATACTATAATAGTAAAACAGTAATATTGTGACAATTTAAAATAACTGTTTTCTATTTCAATATATTTTCAAATGCAATTTATTCCTGTGATGGTAAATCTTGATTTATTTACTATTCATATATGCATCAAAACTAAATTTCGGTAATGGTTAACCACAAATTGGCAATTGGAATAAGTAAACAATATTTAACAATTTAAATAATCTTTAAATAAAGATAAATTCTGAATTAGCTGATCTTGTTTTAAGGATGTTCACATATTTGTTTTTCTCAAAAACAAGACAATAATGCTAATTAAGAAAATGATTTTTTTGTGTGTGATGACATTGTCATGGTCAATTACAAGTCACAGTTTATATGACTGCCAAAAACATCTAAAAGAACACAAACTTTATCATCAGCGATAAATCATTTGAACACAGGAGAGTGAAACTGTTTTCACTAGGGGAGTTTACTACATTTACTTGGACTTTACAACCACTTTGATGGCATTTCTAGCCTCTTCCAGAGAAAAGCACTGAAAAAAAGATTCCCTAAATTGTCACCATTATCATCTTATCATCTGTAAGCCATCGCGCAAAACAGCCTTTAAGAAAAGGAAATTGTTCAAAACACTGTTCCCTGTGTCTGCCTTCATTTGATGCAGGCAGAAATGAGAGCGACCATTCAAACACACATGCACACACTAAATTGTGCAGCTAAACTGAGCATTTAGCCTCTAACTGAGCTAAACGCTGTTCTGCGGGGAAGGCCAGTCAGTGAGATTAGCAGTGTTTCCCAGCAGGAGTGCTATCTTATACAGGTAATTACTCAATTCTCAGCAAACACGCAGATGTCTAACAATACAAACTGAGAAAAAGACAGAATACAGCTGAAAAGATGGTTTTAAAAAAAATTCACACCTTACAGACACATTTATATGAGCACTTCATGTGGACTGACTGGGTCCACTAAGGGAAGAATGAGTCCTCTGTTACGGTAAATGCACTTCCCTAATATTGCAGGAGTGTCCAGTTATAACTGCTTGAGTACAAATGTGTCATGTAAATATCAAACCCATTAAAAATGAAACACATCAATTATAATAACCATTTTCTCTGATTTTACAGAGGAAGGTATCAAGTGTAAAAAAATCTAGATGCAGAAAGAAACACATTTTAGCTTCTCGTGCTGTCAAGAGCTCAGTTCAAATCATGTGTTTCCACTCATCGCCACTGGTTTGCGCTAAAGAGAGCAGAACTGATGGAGAAAATCATCTTGCTTAATGATTCAAACTCATAGTTGTAAACAAAAACACCAAAACTATATTTTAATGTTAACCATTTGCAATTAGACCGGGATTTTCAACAGGGGGCCTGTGACCTCTAGGGGGTCCTAGTTATTTCTTTTATTGTTTAATCATTAACTCTTTTTTTTTGTAAAAATGAAATGTTTTAAACAAAAATACAATATTAGGTTAATTACAACCAACGCTAAAATTCAGCTAAATGTTTTGTTATGTATCCCACATTAAATTGTAGGCCTATTACTTAAAATTTCATCTATGATTATTTACATGTTTCGTAACACTTTACAATAAAGTTTAATTTATTAACATTAGATAACTACATTAGTTAACATGAACTAACTCTATCTTAGTTAATGTTAATTATTTCAGTACTTATTAATGCATTTATTACAGTTGTATTTTTATTAACTAATGCTGACAAAAATTAATAAATACTGCAAAAAGTATTGCTCATCGTTAATGTTAGTTAATGCATTATCTAACGTTAACTAACGGGACTTAAAACTAAAGTGTCACCCAGTGTTTTTTCAATGTAAGCATCACAATAAATAAATAAAATAAAAAAACATGATTATGGTTTAGACATAGTATTATAGGCCAGGCTTAAAATTATCATTGAATTTCCTTTTTCTAAAGGCCTTTGGGTTAGCAGATTAATTTCATGTTCAAAAATTAACTTAAGTACCTGTCGTATTTGAGTAAATTTCTATGTGAATTGGGTGCAGTGGGCAGGACGCAGCTTGTCCACCAGGCAGACAGATGATCCCGGTAAGAGGGGGGCTCAGTGTCCCTAACAAAAGCAAACAGGAACAGAAACCCTTTACACACAAGACAAACAGAGTAATATCAAATGAACACTGAATATACACGTCTGGCTCACCTGTTTTGTTGAGCTCAATGCATTTAAATATAGAAGTGGGGTGGACCAGTAACTGTGCCATCATGGTGGTATAAGACCTGTAAATCACTGAAAGTCAAACATTTATGTAATTAGATATTAAAAGAACACTTTAGGAAAGATTTCAATGGTACAACATTCATTACGAGATACATACAAAATATTACTTACACTGCTGAGGAACTGCTTTGTTTCAAATGTCCTTTACAAACAAAGAAGTGCTAAAAATTTCTCTGATACGGGAATATGGTTATCATTCAGTACTACGGTATGAGCACCCAATACCATGACTGTACCACAGTACTTTTTTTTTTGTGAGGGATAACGCCATGAGAATGTCCCAGAGAAGAGTTTAAACAGGTTATAATACACTGACAGTGTATAAGCCGAGGAGAACATCCCAAACTGTGATCTAGTTAACGCACTGCTGTGCCGACCCACCCAATGAGCTCGTTTAAACACTTCCTCCCCCTCACACAAGCACCTGCCAGTGGACACACACCTGGCTCATGGCAGTCTCCCACAGAGAGGCCCTGTGGTTCTCCACGTTCAGACCGCATGGGCTCAAACTAACACACACCCGGACACACACTCACACAGGCAGCACAAATCCCCCTGAGACAGCCTGCCGTGAGCTAATGAGGAATTAGAGAGGACTAGGACAGCTTTACTGGGGTTTACCTCATGAGAATGATTCACAGACAGACCCAGAGGCCACAAAATGCATACACACTCAAACACAACACACACATGCATGCTCACACGCACAGATGCATGCTCAGGCAAAAATATAGATACACACACTCTCACCCACCCATGGAATCAAATCTTATTGCTTATAGACATAACTTTGTTCGTACCGCAGCTATGCACACCAAAACAAACATGCAGACCTGCATGCACGTACGTGCAGTTTTATCCAGAAATTAGTTTTGAAGCAAATGCAAACAAATCTAACTGACTCACATTGGGTGTACACCCCATACTGTGCCATTTGAAGAATCACAACATCTTCAATCAAAAATAATTATTATAAAAATGAGGATACATGTGTTGTGGCTGAAGCAGGACCACAGGAGGTTTCAACATGTATGGACAAATATATTAGCATTGTTGTTTTTACGGTTCTGTAAAATATTATTATTATTATTATTATTAAATACACCATTTTTTTATTTTACAGTGCAGTATTATTATTACTACAGTATATCTCTGTGTTTGTTTAATTCTTATATTTAAATACAGATAATATTTAAATAACAATAAAATATATACATATTAATGTTTTTGAAACATGGCTGCATTTATTCGATCAAAAATAAAAAAGTAATATTGTGAAATATTACTAGAATTCAAAATAACTGTTTATATAAATATATGTTTTAATTTATTCCTGTGATAGTAAAGCTGAATTTTCAGCAACCATTACTCCAGTCTTCAGTGTCACATAAATCATTCTAATATGCTGATTTGGTACTCAGTTATTATCAATTATCATTGGTGCTCACTGCTCAAGTAGTAATAATGGTTCTTATTATCAATGTTAAAAACCATTTTTGCTGCTTAATATTTATGTGGAAACTGTTTCTTCTGGATTCTTTGATGAATAGAAAGTTCAAGAGAGCATTTATTTGAAATAGAAAGGAATAAATTACATTTTAAAATATATTTAAATAGAAAACATTTAAAATTTTAACATTACATTATATAATAATAATAACAATAATGATGATGATGATGATAAAATATCACTGTAAAAATAAATAGTAAAATAATATTACTATTTTTTATCAAATAAATGCAGACTTGGTGAGAATAAGAGAATTCTTTTAAAAACATGAAAAAGTCTTAATTATTCTACACTTTTGACTGGTATATACATATGCATATGTTATTAGGCATATAGATATTATTATGGTAAACAACAAGCAAGAGGAAAAACACTCAGTGCTGTTAGCATAGCCTTCCCCTTATACTCTCTCTTTGTCTTTTTCAGTGTGAGAACACCCTGAACAGGTATGTTACATGGAATTACAACACAGGCTCTCCTCACGCACTGCTCATTACGTGCTGTGACATATGAGGGCGGAGGGTGAGATTTGTTGATAGAGCGATTTCCAAAATCAGGATTCTGACAGGAACATGTAAGCTCTCATTCATCTTTCATACATGACCGGGGAAAAGGGGGCTGAGTAAGGTGTTTTATGTAATAGAAATGGGTGTGTGTGTGTGTGTGTGCGCGTAAGAGAGAGAGTGATAGTAAGAGTTTAAATATAGTTACCTAACTCTACATATTACGTTTGTGTATCTGCATTCTTGTCTGATGTTCTTAATGCACAAACAGGTCTGTGTGAGATCATGTGTGACAGCCTGGGAATCATGGGAGGTAGTTGACATATGATGTGATTGACAGGCTGACAATCATGCATGCTTTCAGCAGTATTTGTGTTTGTGGCACGGGTGCATGATTGAGTGATTTTAAAGATGAAGCTGAAATAAGTATGCATGTGTAAGTCTGCATGAGTGTGTGTTTGTGTGTGTGTGAGTATTAAGCCATGTCTGCAGGCTGAGGCGGAGGACAATTGGCAGCAGGACTGGCACGTCTGTCAGGTCTCCACCTGCAGAAAGATCAGGAAATGACCCACACCCAAACAGAGAGTTAGCCTTAGAACACGCTGACTAAACCCAGTTTAACTCTCTCTATTGCATTTAGCTTGTATGTTAATGGTGATCTTGTTCCTATTTTTGGCTGATTATAGACAGGTAGACAAGCAGATAGACAGGCAAACAGACAGACGAGAGATAGACAGAGAGAGACAAACAAGAGATAGATAGATAGATAGATAGATAGATATACAGACAGACAGACACACACTGTGTTTAAACACTGTGGTATCAAATGTGCACACATTCTAATTTGTTACACTGTTTATTTAAGTTTCAATTGTCTTCATGTTTTCTTCTCTTATTTTGATCTTTTCATTGCTATTATTATATTTTTCCACATATATTCCAAGCTTTGGCAATATTGTATTTTTTACAGTCATGTCAATAAAGCAATTTTGGAATTGGTATTGGAAAATTGACAGACAGACAAATAGACGATAGATAGATAGATAGATAGATAGATAGATAGACAATTTTTGATATATTTTCAAAATCCTTTGCTCTATTTAAGAAAAAAAAAAAGAAAGGTATTAATCTACAAAAGCAATAAACCTCTCGTGAATGGATGGTGATCCTAAACTTCCTCAACTTCCCAACTAACCGTACAATACTTCAAAGCAGAATGATGTCAATCTGGCCTTTCATTGATGGCGTGTTTACATCAGGCGTATACAGGCCTTTCATGTGAACCAGATGCAGAAGCTCTGTGTTTGTCATTTCTGCGCCCTGCCTCATGTATTCTAGGTGAAGACTAACAAAAAGAGAAAACCATCAGCATTCAGGGTCTATTATTTTCCCACAATGGGTCTGGTACATTCCTCCTCCTACTCCTTTCTCAAACAGACAGCCGAGAGAAAGTGTGGATTAAAAAAGAAAACACAAGATGTTGTTGTGGTGGCCCAGGTTTGCTCAGCTGTGTTGCATTTTAGCCCCACCTAGGAGCCCAAACCCAACACAACATCTTCATTTCTCTCTCTCTCTCTCTCTCTAGCACATTTACAGTTGATATTGCCCATGAACAAGACCTGAAAATCAGGTTAGTGCAGTGTGGGGCGAACGTAACAGTTAAGGACGGCCGTAAACTGGGGAACTGAGGATTACGAAAGAGAGAGAGTGTGAGGTTCACTGCCCCAAACATACAAACACACACACACACACACACAGAGACCTTTCCACCCACTTTCATGAGCATATGAAAGACGGAAGAGCAACAAAGATTCATAAAGTATACATAATCCTTATAATAATGCATGGACCCTCTTTCTTTGAAGCAGTTCTTCGCTGTTTGTTCCTTTTGTGGAAACACCCTGTCCTGTGGCGTATATACTTGCAAGAAATATGCAGATAATTACAATTCAGCAGAATTACAAGACTCGGTTTTAAGTGTTGATTGAATATGAAACTAAGTTACAGGAGGCTGTTTTGAAATGTACATATAAGTATATATTACTATATATAGGTTCACATGTCTGAGACCAGTAGTGAAAATGCTTTTAAATTTGGGTGAAAAATTATAATGAATTGAAAACTTCTTTGTTTTTTGACACACATTAAATGTAAAATCTCGTGAGCATCTTGAGCTTCAGTGGAAACAAGAACATCTGACCGTCTGTATAAAGAGTAACATAACATGTTACAAAGTGACTTATTTAATTAGTGACCTAGAAATAGTGCAGAATCTTTTATTTTATATTCGTTATGTCATAATATTTTTTTTTCTTCAGTTTGTCTGAAATATTCTGTTTATTCTATGTTTAAATCCTTCAGGGTCATCTAAGACTTTTGGATTCCATATACATATAAATGCTCATCCACCTACAATCCTACTGGCTCTTCAGGCTTTGCCCAGACATAAGTGGGGAAGACATTTTTTAGGATTAGAGGTAATAGTTTAAAAATCTGATACTGAAAAACCTACACTTGTTAGCCACTAACTTAAACAGTCTCCCAATGTCTATGCCTATTACAACTCTGCATGTTTTCTTGAAAATTCAGGAGAGCCATTAAGTAAATTGAAAATAAATAAATGCACTGTTTCTTAAGAAGGACTTTGAGAGGATTGATATTTGTTTTAATATAACCCTACTTCTTCACATCTACAACAGCACAGTATATCTCAGAAGCAATGTTTTGTAAGATGTAGCAGAACCTCAATACTGTTGTCAGTCTATCATGAATACTGGGATCAAAATTCATCCAGTTTACCAAAATAGAAGAGAAACCCAACATGGAGAACTATGCTCATAAATGTCATTGAAAATGTATCTTCTTGTGTTTAGGTAGTGGTAAACAGCAATACAAATAAAGGCTTGACCACTGGAACTCAGGCTTATAAAAGCTCATTTGCAAGTAGTGTCAAAGTAGTGCCCTCTTCTAGCGTCAACGCCAAATAATCTCACTAA